AAAAAAAAAAAACAAATCCAGACAACAGACAAACAACATCCACTATCAGCTACAGCACTGATAAAATTATAGGATGATAGGAGTCAAATCACTTATCACTGGCTGGCTATAGGAGATGCACACTAACATGAAACTTTTTACATGGACAGGCTACTAAGAATGACAAGCCAGTATCCCAAGGGGTTTTTTTTTCCCCTCTAACTTTCTATGAAGATGTGAGGTGAACTTAGACAAAGCAAAAAAGCAAAAGAAATCCAAACAGCAAAGAGAACATTTACCTCGGCATATGGCACAGAGTGGCAAGTTACTTTCTAATCATACAGTTATCACCTACAGATGTAATAAACCAAAAAACAACACAGAAGAGACAGATGTTTATTTCTTCTCAAAATAAGACTTGTAGGAGAGAAAGATTCGGCAAGTTTATGGTAATTTGAAATGTAAAGAAGAAAACATTGGCTCCTTTTGAGGAAAGGAGTTTGTCTCAGTAAATATTTAACACTCCAGGCGCATAGTTAGGAGCCCTTTGGGTGAAAATCATTTGGGAGGGCACCAGTACTATGAAATGAAGTCATTAAGAGTGTATGGACATAGGTATTTTAAGATTAAAGGAGGCTTTCTAAAATACCTATCTTAAAATAGTTCAATATGATCAGATAAATTCAATTTTTGATGATCCTATTTGCTTCAGCAGAGCTCCATCGTGGTGCTCTCTCCAGCAAGTCTCTCAGGAGCCATAAGGGCAACAGCTTGTCCATCTGCAAAGCAGAAATCAATCTGTCCCACAGCACTCTGTAAATGAGTAAGTGAAAGTCTCCATGCAGCTGACAGAACCTTGTGACTGCAATAACCAGAGAGCACAGCAAACTTCTCCCATATGCTTTCAAACAAATCTCACAATTATGTTTCTTTTGCCATCAATTACGTTTCTTTTGTCATAGCCAAAATGCAAATACGCTCTGGTACAAGGATTAAAGTTAGCATTGTCAACGAGAAGTTAACGCAACACATTAAGAGTACTAACCCCAAAATGCACATTTTATACAGGATGAAACAGTTCCACAGAGGAGATTTCAGCAAGTTCCTTCCCTCTCTTGTACTGAATGAACAGTCACATAGTAACAGCAGACTTGGAAAAGCATTCATCCTCTTTAGGTCTGAACTCACACAGAAAAAAAAGTCACTGCTACGTAAAACAAGATTGGACCTTAAGTTAAATGAACAATGAGAGCTTACTCTTGCAGAGACTTTACATATAGCAATGTGAAAATCTAACCAACAGGAGAGTAGGTCCCCATACCTTAAACCAGCCTTTTCTGTAGCCATCTGAGTGCTTTCTGACTGTCGTATTGTACACACATGTTGGACATCTACAGCCATGCAGACATACAATAAAATCTATCATCTTTGTTTGACATAAAAGACAGTATGTTGATACTGGCAACAGAAAAATCAAGAGTTAGTTTGAAATGCCTTCTTCCTTTTAACTGCTCACAACTGTTTCTAAGCTAAGATTTTTAACTCCTGTCCTCTGTTAAAACTGACTGCTTTATTTAGTCGAAACACTGAGAAAAATCATTCCATTCTTTTTGAGTCAGTCATTTATGAAATTAGCTTTACCATTCTTTTTCTTGGATGCTGATGTGTTACTAAATATTATCTGAAGCAACAAGCACATATGGAATTCCTTTCTGAAAAACAGTTTATATGTACTGAGTACGAAAACCACATTGACTGCTGCAAACGTAAGCAGTAGATGTTTAGCATGCAATACCATTCACATACAGTGTGTAATAACCTTATTTTTGTCACAGTTACAAACATTCATTTACCAGCTGTACAGTTACCTTCATTGTTTTTTTCAATCAAGTCTGAAATTCCTAAGTACAGCAATAAATTTAACAACCACATCCTTTTATTTTCCAAAACTCAGTTTACAAGATTTCCACTCTACTTTTTACCTCCCTGCGTGGTTTCAGCAAAGATTAAGGAAAATCAATTCTTTCCAAGCTCTCCCCTAGAGCTCGTGTCTGTTACCTCATTTCCTGGCTCCTATGAAACAATGTGAGACAAGACTTTGGTGAAAACCATCACCAAAACATTTACATTTCCAAATAATGAGTTCAGTTTCTCAAAGTCACAAACTCCATGGCATAGGAGATGGCACTTCCTCATCCATTGCATTCTCTCTTCTTCAGGTGTTAACACAACTGATAAGGGTCCTAAAAAACATTACTGGATAGTTTTTCAACTCTCCCAAGCAACCATCCCGTCTTTTCTCTCTTTCACACTTTCCAATAACATACTTCTCTTCATACCGTGACATCTCTGCTCCTGTTAAGCTAGCTCTGTTAAGCACCTCTCCTCCACACAAATTCAAACCACAGCACCACATCTTAAATAACAACAAATCCTTTTCCATAGTTTCATCATTCGGGCAGACTTCGAGATCAATTAGAAGAACCAGATCTTCATTAAAAAACAGATTATATTTAAGCTCAAGGACTACATATCAGTTGATATTTAAAAGCCACACAAAACAATTTTACTGCCATAACATAAAAACTTACCCACTTGGCAATTGGACAGCCCTGAGAGCTTTTTCCTTCCTTTCCCGTGTAAACCACTACCTCTATTCTCACAGCGCTTCCTTTTGCTCCATACCTGCATAAAAAAAGTTCAGAGCAAAACAAACTGCTGTTGACCATTTTAAAACAGAAAACATTTTCACTAAAAGAAGAACGCTGCATTATTTTTTACTGAGAACAGAAGAAAACCAAAATATTTATAACGTCAAAAAATACTTTCTCATTTAAAATCCTACTTGCAGGAGTTATTTCTGACATCTCTTTTCTGCAAACAAACTTCTGCCATTAAGCAAACATCATCTGGGAAAGAAAATGTTATCTGCATGTAAATCCTAGTCCAGTTAGCCACTAATGTGACTTTTCTGTCCAGTTTGCCACAGCTGCATCACATGTAGTTCACTAGAAAACCAAATTCTGCCAGCTGATGATCTGTCACTCCTCCTGACTTCAACAGTACCTAAAAGCACACTGCACTTGAAATTTAACTCTAAAGTTGCAAGAGCTCAGAAAAGACACGAGTTTGGAACTGAAATGCCAGCGCTCACCTCACACACGTCTGAACAGGAAAACAATTCATAAATGAGTACTGCAAAAAGTTCAGAAAAACAAAGCTCATCATAGCAACTGTTTTTTCACAGCTCTTCTTTCCTCTTTAGACAGTCAAAACCACTGCAAGCATTAAATGCTGAGTTTTCCTCACCTGTTCTCCATTATTTCTCTCACAGCAGCAACACTTGGTCCTGTCCCGAGGTGTGTGTAATATGGGCCTTCATCTTTCTCTATGATTTGCTCTGTAAGCAGGTTGAAAAAACTAAGTTGGCACATACAAAACTTACACCATTGCAAGTGAGCTTAGAAATGGTTTACAAAAACATCTTCCCAATTAAATTACAATACATACCATTTCTCCCCGAAATGTAATGAATAAAGACTACGGCAGATTCTTCTCCTCAGAGGCATCAAAATTACTTTATACTTGTTTCCTCCTATTAATCTGCTAGTATTCTTTCATTATGTTATAAAGTAATCCTAATTATAGTAATATTTTGCCTTCTTTACAAATTTCTGTTAATAGAGATGGCATGTATTGATTAAGTAAGCTTCCCAATATCCTTGTTGGTAGAAAAACATTCACTTTAGACAAAGGGAAATTGAGGGGAAGAAAATTAGCTGACAGTAATATACTACAGAACAGAAAACACAATCCAGGCCTCTTAGCCAGCACTCTGTCAATTCAGAACATTAAAGCAAAGACGAAGCTATTTGCCTGTGTACAATTTGCTGTTAAGTCTTCGACTTGTTTTTCCATCTGTACGCTTTGATAGCCTGAAAATGCCTCACGCCACCCATCAAGCTGTACTTGCAAAGTCCCCAGTACCGAGTTCAGTCTGACATCTTCAGTAACATGGATGTATGTGGCCTCGCCTGAACTCCACCTCACCTCTCCCCTCTGAGATCCATGACAGCATACTCAATTCTGCTGCACTTTGCTCAAAGAACACCAGGTGAAAGTTACAGAAGGGAAAACCCAATTTCTTTCCATTTCCTAATGGCAGAACGCTGACCTTTTGCAGCTGTTAAGTAAGCATCACCTCCTTGCACTGAAGGAAGCAACGTGAGCACACAGAAGGTACAGACAGAAGTTAGCAAAAAGACTTACCAACACAGTCACAAGTTGGCAATTCAGATTGTCCTTTTTTTGTAGGTGTATCTATTAAATTTTTTGTAGGGGTATCAAGAAATTTCATAGGTGATTCAAGAAAACTGCTGAGTGTGTTTTTTGCTGGAGAACACCCTGAGTCACCCGTGCTCTGTGGGTGGTCAGCACCCAAACTGGTTGACGTCAGAACGGTCCCTTCGCTCGCACACTCCACATTCCTGAGAGCTTCAACAGCACCTGGCACCTGGGTCCCACCACAGGGAACAGGCAGCACCCGCGGCTTCGGCTCCGCTCGTTGTTCTACAGCACCCTGCTGGGCATAGGCTTTGTCTTCGCCACGCATTTTGTTAGCTCTCAGGTTAGACTGATTAAAAGTTTGATGCGCCTGACTGAGATTCGCTGTTTGCTGTACCTGAGAACTACATTTTTCTGTAAACATCTGTAGGTTTTCACTTGGTCTGTTCAGCAAGGATGCCGTTTTCAACTGTGAAACGGCCAGGGGATTACGGGAGGGCAGGTCACGTGCAACAGCTGCGGGTTTTGTTGGATCAGCACTTAGTGGGTCACCGGAGCCTGACGTTTGGATTTGTTCGTTCACCACTTCACAGCCAAACAATCTGTCTTTTTTTTTCTCTTGCGCTACCTCAGGTAAACATCTATGGAATTTTATCTGCGTTTGTGGGAGAAATAATCTAGTTTTTTCTTGTGATGCTAAAGTATTTTGATTCGGTGTTCTCTGTACTTTGGTTCTTGGAGATTTTTTTTCAGACAGAGCTATTCTGGAGTCCTGTGGCATGGCATGACCAAGCTTGTGCAGTTTTGATGATATCCAAATGTCTTGTAACTCACTATGCTGGCATGACAACAGCTCTAGCTGGTTTTGATTATTTTGTTGATAGCGTGCTTCTTGAGGCTTCTTTTTGTGCCTTGGTTTCCACGGTACAGCATTTCCTTTTTTATTTGTTGGTTGTTTTTGCTTTAAGAGTAAGGAACCGTAATTATGCCTAAAAAATACAGATTCTTTTTTCTGCAACACATCTTGGTTATTTTTTGGCTGCCTCTCATGCGAAATTAGATTAAGCAGTGATGCCTTTATGTCATTCTTCTGCTCTGGATTTGTCTGGTTTGATTCAATTAGCGCCGCAAGCTGAGTTAGTTGCGTAGCTACATCCTCTTCATCCTGGCTATGAATTCCTCCTTCTTTAATCAAAGAACCAGCTTCCAAGTTCAAATCATTACAGGTTGGCTTTTGCTCTAATTGGCCAAGGGTTTCCAAGTTGCTACTTGTTTGCTGGACATTATGTGAAGCGTTGCAATACCTCGTGAGAGTGACTGGATCATGAGTGTAACTTTTCTTGGTAGTATATCCTGAAAACGACTTTGCATTTGATGTTAAGTCAGATAAAGTTTTGGTATCTCTCGAGGATAACTGCAGTTTATACATCTCACCAGTCAGACTGGCAGGTCTATCACACAACTCAGAAACTGAACTTTGCCCGTTGTATAACGGGTCCTTACTAGGGAGCTGCTTCTGCGAGTGAGCGCAGTGAGCCAAGAGCTGCTGTTCATTCTGTAAGTAAGTGTCTTTGATTTCTTTTAACGCAGAAGATGTGAAGGAGGAGGAGATATCCCTTTTGTAACTATGGAGCAAGCTGGAAGTCATTTCTTTTGTGCATTCAGCACTTTCAGGTTTAGCCGGTGAAGTTGTTTCTAAAGGGACTTCAGATAACTGTGTTAAAGCTTCAATAGCTACAACCTGCTCTACAGTTAAGTTTCTGGTTTTAATCAGGGACAAGAAAGTTGGCTGGAGCAAGGAATCCTCATGCTGTGTCTCTGTGTTAGGTACTTCAGAGCCAGCTTTCCCCACACATGCTTCCTCTTCAGGGAGTGGAGGACAACACAGGCTTTCTTGAGGGTCCAAAGTGGAACTCGTCTGCAGAATGAACTTACCAGAATCCTCAAAGATGCTGCAAGTGCAGTTTTCCTCTTTCATTAAAATATTTCCTTCTCTTTCTGGGTGAACACAGCCAGCGCCAGCCGCAAGAGTGTTTACTATGTTGTTCAGATCGGTGCCCTTCATCCATTGCATATGGGAGTTGCTTGTCAAGTCTGGCCTTTCCTCTGTGGAGACTTTTTTTAGCGAACCAGCTGCTTCTGATGGTGAATAATGTAGGGGTTTTATGCCATTTTTGATGGTGTGTGCAAATGATTTTTTTTGCTGAGCTAACTGACTGGGAGAAACTGCTCTTTCACTTTCTTGAGAGATTTTCAAGTGTTCGGTGCCCACCACAGTTCCATGGATATCTCCGTTGACATGGACACCAAAAGATGGCTTCTCGTTATGTGCCCACTTCTCTGCTTCTAGGCCGGTCATTCTTTCCTTCTCCTTAGACTGCACATTGTCAATGGGCACGGTTTGGATTGTTTTCACCCTGTATTTTTCACCATGACCACATATACTGCATTCCATGAGTTCTGGTCTGCGGCCATTTACTGGTTTGTTTTCTAAATTTGCCTATAAAATAAGAATAATAATAAATAATAACTTTTTTTTTTAAAAGATTGTTCTAACAGCTGTTCAAACACCATTAGAAATAAGGAGCATAAGATTTACAGCAATTAAAACCTACTTCAACCATTATCAGGAATATCCTAACCAAGCACAGACACAGGAAGTCATAAAAAACCCTGAAGCCTAAAGACCCTATCCATATTTATAGTTATTTTTCCTCACTGCTGTGGGAGCAGAGGAAGAAAGTGTATGCGTGTGGTGGTGGTAGAAGATTAAAGATATGAAAGAACAGAAAAAGAACGTTAGCATTTAGGATCAGATCTAAGGATTCCATTTTTAATGAATTTGCATAAGCAGATGAAAGTCCCCCTTGAGTTCAAAGCAGGACTGAAATCTAAAGGCTTGTACCACAGGAAGTTCGGTAGTAATTTGGTATAATTTTACTGATTTGGTTAGACCAATAGGCTGATGCAACACTTGGTTGGACACTAGCAAGGATGGCTAGTTTTCAGGCTAAATTTCAAGTCCCTTAAAAAAAAAAAAAAGTATCACAGAATCCCACAAAATGGTAGGTGTTGGAAGGAACCTCTGGAGACCATCTTGTCCAACCCCCCTGTTTAAACAGGATCACCCAGACTAGGGTGCCCAGGATGGTTTCCAGGTGGGTTTGAAATCTCTCCAGAGAAGACGACTCCACAACCTCTCTGGGCAGCCTGCTCCAGGCTCTGGCTCCCACACACAAAAGATGGTTTTCCTCATGTTCAGATGGAATCTCCCGTGCCCCTTGCCCTGTTGCTGGGTACCAATTAAAAGAGAATGGTCCCATTCTCTTGACTCCTACCCTTTATATATTAGTAAGATCCCCTTTGAGTCTTTTCTCCTCCAGGCTCAACAGCCCCAGGTCTCTCAGCCTTTCCTCTTCACAGAGATGCTTCAGTCTCCTCAGTATTTTCACACCCTCCACTGGACTCTCTCAGTAGTTCCTCATCTGTCAAACTGGGGAGCCCAGAACTGAACCAAATACTCCAGAGGTGGCCTCTCTAGAGCAGAGTAGAGGGGGAGGAGATGCTCCCTCGACCTGCTGGCCACACTCTTCTTAATGCACCCCAGGAAATGACAAAAGCTAAGCTGATATGGCTAGGAAGGCAATTCACATTATCTCACCTGAAAAGTACCCTCTAAACACTGTGTTTAGCTTCTGTATTTAGATTGTAACTTTCAGGTTTCTGAAGAGTCTATCAGTTAAGCCACCCCTAACAGTATTTAGGTAGACTCTAAGTTCTAATATTAGGTTAAATATATTCTTCATCTTCACTGATATTTTACAGTTTTTGTGGTTGAAGCAGTGTCAAAATCTAGGTAGAGTTAGAATACTGTGTCCTGGAAAGAATATGCATATAGGCCTTAAGACAGTACTATGATACATAGTAAGGAGTTATGCAATTTAAGTTAAAAAGAAGAAAAAAAAAAAAAAAAAAAAGAGGCAGGAACTCAAGCAAAAATAGCAATAAAGGCTGGAATCCCTTTTTTATTATGTTAATCAAATTTTCTATTTATATTAAATTTTCTTTTAGAAAATAATTTTAAGTCACAATAGACAGGGCTAGTACTTAATCTTATTGTAGCAACTAAGTTATTTCAATATTCTGTAGTCTTTAGCCCTACTTGACACAAAAACAGGTACTGGTTTTCAGTTCACATATAAGCAATCCGACTGGTTAATTAACCATAAATTGGTTCCTGCAGGAATCTATCCGTAGGATAGAGCAACGCCTTATGGAATGCTTCTTCATGACATACAGATACTGACTAATGGTCTGCAAGCCTGAACTCCTCTGGACCCTGGGGATTTTCAACCAGTGATCCACAGACCCAAAAGATCACCGAGCAGTTTCAAAGGTATCCACAAAAGTGGTTAAGCAGCTCTGTTGTTAGCAGGGGTAAATGTGTTTGTTACACAGCCCTCTGCACCTGGAACAGAAAGCATTTTAATGGTCCACCATGGTAAAGGAAAAACCCAAAATTCTCTACCTGTGCAAAAGCTGAATCTGAGTTACCTTAATTTAACTTCAGAAAGAACTAGGGTATGAAACTGCTGGGTTTTCTACAGGAAAAATAAACCCAAGATCTCTATCAATGCAAAAGTTGTCCCAGCCATGTAAAACTGTTATTAAAAATTATTTAACTAGACAAGCAGGAGTCTGAGGAGATAGAAGCAAATATATTAAATTAATTCCCCAGCACTTGTATGTTTTCAACATGAAGACACATTTTTGTATTCCCTTCATTTTTAGAGGGTGTCACCTGTCTTGCAAACTGAGCAGTGAGAGGTGTGAGGATGGAGGAAGGTTCATGGATGTATCAGCAGAGATTGGATCTGACAGAGTCCACTGACAGTACTCGAAGTGCAAAAATATCATCATGCTTCTTTCTTAACTGTGTTGTTCCTCAAAATACTTTCATCTGACCAAAAAGTACTGCCTCGCCCCAATCTGCTGGTAGTGTACAGGTGTGATGGTGTGTCCCCACAAACACCAGTGATCTCAGCAGTAACGTGGGATTACTTTTGAAATAGAATTATTCTTCATACATCATAATTTCCACTAACATTACTGGAAGCCCATATGCAATGAGGAATTAAAAAGAACCAGATGAATCATATCATTGGTATGATTTGGTTCATATTTTATTTTTCCACTCAAAGAATAAATATTATCATAAAATCGGATATATTTTTTTTAAGTCAAACTGTCTTCTTTCTAAGCACCACATTGCTTTTTCTTTTCTCTTACTGAACTGCAATGACTCCTAAAAAAATATCTTTGTCCTTCCTTTCTTACCAGACTTTCCAGGAGCCTTTTCTGATTAACACACAAAGTTATTGTTTCCTGACATAAAAAAAAAAACGCAGACATACTAGCAAGGGCAGAGCTCATTTGATTCTTCTCCTTAATGTAAGCCTGGCAGACCATAAGTAATAGCTCAGCAAAACCCTTTTGCAGCTGAACAGCCTAGGAGCAATCAATCTTCAAGTCCTGTGTCAGGGCTCAAAACGCAAAAAAAAAAGGAGTTAGGACTATAGATAAGGATACTGCAGTTCCAAGCAATTGTCTTAAAATTCATGGAAGTTAAGCACATGAGTCTGCTCCGATTGATTTCTACATCTGTTACACAAGTGTAATGAAAAACTGAAGAATAAACTGGATCAATAAAAGTAATTTCCTCTCTTCCTCATTAAGGAGAGCACTACTCTCTGTGGAGACATGAAACACTGACAAACCATACTCAAGTGTAGGCTCTGCAGCAGTTAGTGCTGCTGGGACAGGAACCAGAGAGCCCAGTCTGTATTACTTAAACTTCAACCAGACCTTATCTCTTACATACACAGACACGCATACACACAGGAAAAAATTCACCCCATGAGCTAAAGCTTACAGCACACATGAAAAGCCAGTAACAGTAAATCATTTCAGCATTTCAAAAAGGTTGACTTTAATATTGAGTTTTCTTCTGACACGAGATGCCTCTGAGGTAACACAGAGTTCACCAACTCACAATCAGAACACAATGCTAAAGCTGCCCTGAAGACATTTCCACACCCTCTGTACAGCCCAGCAGGCTGTAGATTTTACATCTCCTTTCAAACCCCTAGAGGTGGTAGCCACACATGTTGTGCTAAAGGACACAATCACAAACAGTAAGTCCCAGGAAAAACAGGTGATGCCCAGATCAACTACTGATAAAGTGGCTCTACAAGCAAGCATGAAAAGTTACAGGATACCCAATGCCAAGTGCCTCTAACTAGCCCTCCTTGTAGGATTCTGCCCAGGTCAGCACAAAACACAGCACCAAATGGATCAAAAAATCCTTGCACCTCCTCGCTTCTGCTAACAACCAGGATGACCCAAAAGGCAGTTCTTCCAAGGTTACAACTTTCATCAGCATAAAAGGGTGTGTGGGTGAGAAGTGCTCTCACTTCGCTTCTCTTTTCCATTGCAGTGCAATGGGTAAGTCTGGATCCAGCTGCAGTGCCTGCAGCCACGTAGCCAGCCCCACTTGCCCTTCCACGTTGGCACAGAGCTGGCAGCTTCTCAGAGCTCAAATACCACAACAGAAGTTTTCTTCCAGAAAAACTGTTTGGAAAAAAACCCAAACATGCTTCATCTACTGTCCAAACAGGGTGTTTTATTCATGGCCCTACTGTCAGATGCCACTGGTTCACAAAGAGGCACAAAAGCACCGGCCAGCTGACCAGCAGCAACCTACTCCTATGCCATTTATTCCTACTCTCTAGAGTCTGCACCCCAGGACACAACGGAATTTAGTGGAGCCCAAGACCTGCACTGTACAGGACCAACAGATGGGGGTCAGGACAGGGCTGGGGAGACAAAGAGCACACACAAGTGTGCAGGAACAGCTGCATGTGCCAAGGGCTATGCGGAACACCCTGCGCTGGTCACAACAGAGACAAAGGTGAGGTGGGATGGTGCAAACAGGCCACCCTCTAGGTACAGCCAAGTTTTCTTGCATTCCAAAATAAATGCAAAAACAATAACACATTTAAGGATAAACTTCTATTTAAGAGCTCGCTATTTCACATTTGACTACTGTAACACAGACAACAGCAATGCACTGTAAGCTACTGCCCGAGGCTGCAGCCTGAGCAGAGCTTCTGAGCAGACTACCAGCAGGGAGAGGAGAACAGCTGAGCAGGGGCCAAGCCGCAGGCTGGGTAACGTTCCCATGAACCCCACCAGAGGCACACAGCAATTACCACCACGCTTCCCTAACAGCCTGGGACACCAAACAGCCTCTTAGCACACCACACACCTCCACGGCTCAGCTAGGCACATTTGTATAGGTCTTTGTGCAGAGAAACCGATTTGAGCCCTTTATTAACGTAACACAGCCCGCACGTGCAACACCTTTTGTTCCTGAAGAGAAGAACACTCCCAGATGGCACTGAGAGGCAGGGCAGGTAATAAACCTGCATTTTA